TGTAGCTCAGTGACAGTGCTTTCTAGCATGTGCAAGGCACTGGTTCTATCCTCAGCACCACATAAAAAATAAATTGATAAAGATATTGTGTATCCCTCTACAACTAAAAAAAAATGTTTAAAAAGAAAGAAAAATACAGGACAGAGGTTCTAAACCTGTTTTTTTGTTTGTTTGTTTGTATTGCTTTATTTTACATGGGGTTTGTAGAAAGATTTCAGAGGTCATTGAGCCTCCTAAGGGAAATAGAGTTTGGGGTGGGTAAGGGCATCTTTTAATGGGGAAACATGATTTATAGATGTATCAAATTTCCAAATGGAACTGTGGATTCTCAAATGATTAAAGACCAATGTTTTAGAGGTTGTAGGTTTCAAGCTTTAAAAATCAGGAAAAGATAGGATCAGATGACCTTTGAGGGAAAGCAGATGACTATGTTAGGATGTTTCACATTCTTGTGATAGAAACCAGCTCGAACAAATTGATGTTAAGAAGAAATCTACTGGTTTATATAATTAAAACACACACACAATTTGAATTTTTCTTCTTTCTCTTTTGTTTTCTTTTTTTTTTTTTAAATATTTATTTATTTATTTTAGTTTTCGGTGGACACAACATCTTTGTTTGTATGTGGTGTTGAGGATCGAACCCGGGCCGCACGCATGCCAGGCGAGCGTGCTACCGCTTGAGCCACATCCCCAGCCCCTTGTTTTCTTCTATATTGTCTTTTTTCTCAGGATTGCTCTCTTTGTATGTTGGAATAAGAGATCAGTCTGGAGCTTACATGTGCTAAGTTCTTAGAAGTTTTAAGCTTCCAGAGGAGGAGAAGGTGGTGTCTTAAGTTTGCTTTCTATTGCTGTAACATAATATCTGAGATGGGATAATTCATAAAGAAAAGAAGTTATTTTGGCTCACAGTTCTAGTGGCATTTGGAAATCCAAGATGGGCAGTTGGTGAGGGCTTTGTTTTGCTTCAATTCATGTCTCAAAGTGGAAGGGCAAGTGGGCATGTGTGGAAGAGACAAAATATGAGGGACTGCCTCACTTGCTTTACATCTTGCTCTTGGATTGACTAATCCAATTCCTCAAGAGCAGTGTCCTTATATAACAAAGGTATTTTATCCAATTTAACAATCTAATTCCCTCTTAAAGGTCCTATTACCTTCCAACACTGCTACACTGAGAATCAGATTTCAAAATGAATTTTGATAGGGACAAATTGTATCTGAGCCATAACAGGTAGTATTTTTTCTAATAACTGGTAGATGTCCCAGAAAGAACCTTAACCAGTCTAGATCATTTCCCCTTAGGGAGATGGAGTCAGTACCAATCAGATTACATGATTAATATAATTAATATGAAACTGGGTAGAGGAATTTCCCCAAAGGAAGGCAATGTGTGTGGGAAAAAAAATTATTTTTTTTCTCTATAGTGATTGAAAAGCTTGAGGACAAATAACATAGATAATGGACTGAAAATTGAACGTTAAAATTGGTGTATATTTAGAGAAGCCAAATTTGTTTTGTGTATGACTTATAATATTTTTCTATATGGATTTCAGATTACTCAAAGTTTTATTCATTTATTGGTTCCTTCATTTAACAAATATTGGAAAATATGCTATGTTCTGTCATCATTTTTTGTACCAGGATTGTAGCAGTGAATAAAACAAATGTCCTTGCTTTCATGGAGCCTACATTCTATTGAGGACAGGCACATAATAAATAAGAAAAATTACTGAAATATATAACATGCTAGATGGAGAGAAGTGCTCTGGAGGAAATAAGCAGAGAGGGGAGATAGGGAATGATTATTACAGTCTTAAGTAGGATGGCCAAAGAAGATCTTGCTAAGGTCTTGTTTGTTTATTTGCTTGTTTTTAAAGAAAGTGTCATTGAGTTAGGACATAAAGGAGGGTGAGGAGGGAGCAAGCCATTTGGATATCTGGAAGATGAAATTTCCAAGCAGCAGGAAGCAAATGCAAAGGCTCAGAGTGTTGAAAAAACTGCTAGAACCTTGAATCAGAGAATGAGAAGAAGGGATAAATTAGGAGGAGGAATAAATATGGGATGACATCAATGAAGTAAGGGGATGGCGGGAGCAAATTGTCTAGGTCCTGGGAGGCCATGGTAAGGGTTACGGGGAAGAATATAAAAAACATCAGAGAGTCTTGAGCAGGAGAAAATAATCTTAGTTTATTTTTTTAATAAATTTTTGTTGATTTTTACTTGTAGTTGAATACAATAAACCTTTATTTTATGTATTTTTATGTGGTGCTATGCCTCTCATGTGCTAGGTAAGTGCTTTACCACTGAGTTATATAACCCCAGCCCTAATCTGAATTAGTTTTTAAAGGATCACCCTAACACTTAGTTGAGAATGTATTGTAGAGGCCCAGGTGGAAGTGAGGAGACCAACAAAGAGGCTATTGTATAACAATAATCCAAGCAATAGATATTGGTGGCATAGACAAGGGTGGTGGGTGGAGATGATAAAAAATGGTTGGAGGTACCCTTCTTGGGTCCCCTCTTGGCCTACTGGAGCTCTGTCTCTTCTCATTTGAATAAATTTTACTCTTTTACATTCACTCTTGCTCATCTGTAGATTTTATCCTTCAGATTCATGAAACAAGAGCCTGGAAAGGGGGCACTGGTGGGCAGCTGGGCTCTGCTGCAATACTGTAGCTGCAGAGACTGAAAATCCAGTTTCATCTTTGGGGGCTCATCCTGGATCCTTTGGAAAGTATCATTCTGGCCCTTTGTATATCTTATCCAGTCACCAACTGCCACCATAGACTTCTGGACTACCCTGATATGTGAGATGCCCAAACTACAAATGGCTTTACAGATGGAACCCAAAACCAAACTCCTACTGGGGGCCCTTAAATAGGCCTCTGTAGAAGGACCCTGACTACCATCCTCTTTTTAACACCCCTTTTCAGGCTGTGTAGGCAGAGGTCATCCCTTCTTCCCCTAATGGCAGTTAGGGGCACTTCTTCTGAAGGGGGGGAATGAATAAGATAGGTAATGGACCCCATTTAAGCCTTTTTTAATGTAAAGACCACTCCAAGAAACATTATAAAATATATGAAACATTATAAAAATTAGAAATTAGCACATGAGAGGCATAGCACCACATAAAAATACATAAAATAAAGGTTTATTGTATTCAACTACAAGTAAAAATTATAAAATATAGCAACATTATAAAAATTCAGTCAATTCTTTTGTCCCAGATGATGGGAATAGAGAGGCAGGACCTGTCTGAATGAAGTCTACAGATTCAAGGGTTTGCCAAAACCTTAACATCTTCCCATACCTGTTTAGCATAGATTTTGACCAATAGCACTGGTACTTTTCCAAGACCTGATTATCATAGATTTTGGTCGGTATGTCTACTAGTAACTGTATAAGCCCCTAGACTAGTATGCGTAAGTGGCAACCCTTTTGGGTCCCCTCTTGCCCTGTGGAAGCTGTGTCTCTTCTCACTTGAATAAATGCTACGCTTTTACCCTTAAAAAAAAAAAATTGGATCTGAGGTAGATTTGCGGATAGGAGGAGGTATTAGAGAATGAGAAGAGTCAAAGTTGACTCTAAAGTTTTGGGCCTGAACAAATGACCATAGATAGTAAAATTTTTCCTCCCCTGTGGTGCTGGGGATTGAACCCAGGGGCACTCTACGACAAAGCTATACAAACCCTCGTTCTTTTTAATTTTATTTTGATATAGGATCTCACTAAGTTGCCCATGCTGGTCTCAAGCTTGTGATTTCCTCCCTAAGCCTTCTGAGTTGCTGGGATTACAGGTGTGCACTAATTTTGACATACTAAGTTTAAGATGACTATTCGAGGGGACTGGCGTTGTGGTTCAGCAGTAGAATGCTTGCCTAGCATGTGTGAGGCTCTAGGTTCAATGCTCAGCACCACATAAAAATAAATTAATACACTAAAGGTATTGTGTCCATCTACAACTAAAAATATTTTTTTTAACTAAAAATATTTTTTAAAAATGACTATTCTACATCTAAATAAAATGTCCATTAGATTATAGTATATTCAAATCTGAAATTCAGGTCTGGGCTAGAGATAGAAATTTGTCAGCATATGGTTAGTATTTAATGCCGTGAAAATGGATGAGATCACCAAAGAATAAGTGAAAAAGGAAGACAAAAGTTGTCTAAAGACCAATGTGAAGAAGTTGGGAAGAAGGCACTAGTCAAGAGGATTGAGAAGAGCAGCTATGTAGAATTTTAGAATAATTAAATTCTTAACAAGGAAAAATCCTGGAAGCTAAATGAGAAAAAAAGTGTTTTAAGGAGGAGTGAGTGATGAGTTGTCAGATGTTGTTGATATATCAAGTAAGATGAAGACCGAGATTTAATGATTGCATTTAACTATTATCTCCTTGAGGATAGGTGTAACAAACTATAAATTTGGTTATTGGAGACATTCCTAGCCCCTGACCTCTTCTTAGAAATTTAAACACTGTGGTTCAGGTGCAATCAAGAGCACTTACTACTGATTTTATTTTTATTTTATTATTATTTTATTTGTGTTGGATTGAATTCAGTGTCTCCTGCATGTTGGGCAAGAGATACTGAACTATACCCCCAACCCCAAGACTGCTTATTAATCACATAATTCATTAACAAATTTTATTATTTCATTATTTTCTTATTTTTCATTATACATACTATATATTAAAAATCATGTTTTGTGCTCAAGATGAATATGTAAGTATGCTAATGGATTTATATGTTTGTAGTAGGACATGTGTATTTCCTTTGAAATACTTATTATATGAAGGGAAAACACTGTTATTTTGTCATATTTATATTTCTGTATTTGGAGGTTTTTAGGTGTAATTTTTATAGAGAAACTAAATTTACAATTCTGAGATTTCTGTAAGTAGTTAATACTTGTTATTCTTGATAATAGAAAGCACAGGATTTGAGAATGTAAAAAAGATTTTCATTTCTCTAATGAAAATGTGTATTGTTCTTTATTAGAAATTCATTGAATTTGAAGATTCTCAAGAACAGGAAAAAAAGGATTTACAGACCCGAGTGGAATCTCTAGAATCTCAAACAAGACAACTTGAACTCAAAGCAAAAAACTATGCTGATCAGAGTAAGTAAAAATATGTCTGCACATAAATACACGTTAAAGAGTGAACTCTAATAGTACAATAATTCACCTTGACATTTGAAAAGAGTTCCAAATATATACTTAAAATGGTTGTCCCAGACTCAAAAGTAAGACCTGGGTGTTGGGGTTAGTTCTTTTTCTTCACTTTTCACATAGTACCCACGTATGCAGAAATGGCTAAATCAAAAATACTTAAGGACTCACATCTTCAATTTAGTTTTCAGTCCATTTGTAGTTAATATTTTACTATATCCATTATGCATGTGCGTATGTGTGGATCATTTCTTCTTATTTTGATCAAGTACACAAAGTTGCATTGTTTCTGTATGTTTCTGAAGTTTAAAAATGTAAGAGAAACTCAAGTTTGAAAGTATATATAAAAAAATGAAGTCTCTTTTTTTGTTCCCTTCTAATTGAAATGTAAGGGTATTTAAGGGAACAGAAGTCCATTTTTTTCAGATTAATTTTATTTTTAATATAATTTAATATAATTTCATGTTATTCTTGACTTTTAAAATAATTGTTTTAGCAGTTTATGGTGGCACATACTTGTAATCACAGCAATTCAGGAAGCTGACGCAGGATCACAGGTTCGAGGCCAGCCTCAACAATTTCGTGAGGCCCTAACTAAGCAAATTAGTGAGAACCTGTCTCAAAAATAAAAAGGGATGGCCTTTCTCTGATATAAGGAGGCTGATTCATAGTGGGGTAGGAAGGGAGAGCATGGGAGGATTAGATGAATTCTAGATAGGGAAGAGGGGTGGGAGGGAAAGGGAGGGGGCAGGGGATTAGCAAGGATGGTGGAATGTGATGGACATCATTATACAAAGTACATGTATGAAGACTTGAATTGGGTGTCAACATAATTTATATACAAACAGAGATATGAAAAATTGTTAAAAAAAAAAAAACCCGGATTCAGAAAGTAACAAAAATAAATAAATAAATAAAAAGGGATGGGGATATGACTCAATGGTAAAGCAACCCTGGTTTCAATTCCTGGTACCAAAAAATAAAATAAAAAATTAAAAAAGTAATTGTTTCAAACCTCAAAGTTGGTTTCCCCTTTTTGGCTAATGAAAATAGACCTAATCAAGTCAAAACTACAAAAAGAAAAGTGAGAAACTTCATGACCTATTTTCATATCTGACATAGGTAAATAGAGAGTTCTCTGCTTTTCCATCACAGCATTGTAAACTTTCAGAATTCCAGGGAACAAGAGATGGTCTGCAGTTTTACTCTTTCCCACATCAACCATTGAGGCTCTTTAGTGACACCTGCTGTTAATGGACTGCCATTCATGATGAGTAGCTTTTGCCACCAGGCTTGGAATGTATGTGAGAACTGAGTGTGTGTCTTCTAAACCTCTAAAAGGACCTAATAGAGCTAAATCAAAATCACTGGAAACCTGGAGTTCATTCTGGAATTAAAAAAAAATTCATATGACTATTAAGCAATATCATAGAAGAGAGCTAATAGATATTTTGTAACAAATACCAATAAAATGAGCCATATATCATATGTCAATTTAGGCTTGAAGATACCTAGAATTATATTCCTTTCCTTGGTTAACATGGAATACATTGAGCAACTGCTATGATTCTATTCTAGGTTCTACATAGACTACTTGGTGCATACACTCTTACATAACTGGAGTCACATTACTGTGGACCACTCATCTGGAAAAACTGTCTTGTGGCAAATGCAAGCTTTTGCAACATTTTAAGGGTTGAGTGTTCTCTAACAAAAAAGAAAATTTAGCTAGCAAAGATAATGTTTTAGGAGCTGGGGTTGTGGCTCAGTGGTTGAGCACTTGCCTAGCATGTGTGAGGTACTGGGTTCAATTCTTAGCACCACATATAAATAAATGAATAAAATAAAGGTCCATCAACATCTAAAAAATATATTTAAAAAAAGAATGTTTTAATTCTCATTTTCATATTGGGTATTAGATAGTATTTTTAGAACCAAACATTAAAGGCACAATTGGCAGAGTCAATCTAATTTTCATTTGTTTAAAATATTAAATTTTTTCTTGATTTCTAAAAAGTGCCAAGTTTTCGGTAGACATTTTTCTTTTGACTTGGAAAGAAATTCCTTATTTAAAATCCATTTATGCATTAAGTAATCTGCTTGTGTGGAAAGAAAGAGGAAGAATCACCTTTTATTGAAATTGCATTTTTTATGTCATAGTACATATATACATAGTACAATATCTGTCACATTCAGAGAAAATACTGCTGCTTTTTTTTTTTTTAAACAAAGTAAATGGAATGAGTTACTCATTTGTTCATAGGCATATTAGCCTTTTGATTCTAAGATTTAAAAATTTATTTTGTGTTCCTTCTAATAAGAATTTAAAAAAACCCAGTTTCTTAACTAAGGTAAATAGTCAATTTAGGAGAATTATTTATCTCAGTGTCCAGTCTAGTGAGGCACATTCAACTTTTTGGAAATCATCACATTCTGTTGTATCCTAAGTATGTAAATCTAAGTATGTACATTGAACTTTTCCCCTTAGTCTTTATCTTGTTACATTTAAATATAATCCCACCTATTTTTGGAAAATATTTGACTATTTTTTTCCTTTATTCTTTCCAAAAAGTATTATCATGTTTTTATTGTAATTCAAAGACATTTTTAAAAATTAGGTGCCTTTTAAAATTGATAATACTCTAGGGAAGGAAGGAGTAAATTCTATATTAAATATTGAATTAGGTCTTGAGTTTAATTTGATCTGAAAACTTTATTTTTCTTATTAATATATCTTCCCACAAATTTATCCAGTGAGTCTCTATCCCATTTTGAAATTTATCTTGGTGTCTAAATAAAAATTAAAGAGGGACTAGGGATGTGGCTTAAGTGGTAGTGTGCTCACCTGGCATGCGTGAGGCACTGGGTTCGATCCTCAGCACCACATAAAAATATTAAATATATTGTGTCCACCTAAAAAAACTAAAAAATGAATGTAAAAAAACCAATTAAAGAACGTACAACTTTGGTTAAGTAAAATTGACCATTCAGATGTAGAGTTTATATAACTAAATTTTTTGATTCACCAAGTGAGGCTGTAAATGAGTTCTCTATTATTAATACTTTGGAACTTATTCCCTCTGCTTTTGAGATCTTGGAGTCTTTTTGTGTTTTCTAATTGTTTTTCTCTCACTTTCTTCTATTTTCCTCTAATCCTTAACTGGGGCTATGAAATCTAAGTATATACATTGAACTTTTCTCCCTAGTCTTTATCTTGTTACATTTAAATATAATCCCACCTATTTTTGGAAAATATTTGACTATTTTTTTCCTTTATTCTGTGAGTTTTCTCTCCCTGAAATCTCCAATATGAATCAAACCCCCTAATTTTTTGGACAGTGGTAGAAGATAATCATATATATCATTAATGTCATATACTACTGGAAACATAGGCCTTGGAAAAAGTGCTTTTGGGGGGAGGTAGGATTAAATCCAAGAATACTTTGTGAGCTGCATCTTTGAGGCAGGGCCTGGCTAAATTGCCCAGGTCGGGCTCCAACTTAAAATTCTGCTTCAGCTCTAGAGTAGTTGTAATAATAGGCATGTGCCAACATGCTCAGTGAAAAATTGCTTTTTAGAAGATGAAACAAATTTCAGTAGATGTATGTCAGAATTTTTTTTTTTTTTTTTTTTGAGAGAGAGAGAATTTTTTAATATTTATTTTTCAGTTTTCGGTGGTCACAACATCTTATGTGGTGCTGAGGATCAAACCCAGCGCCCCACACATGCCAGGCGAGCCCATTACCGCTTGAACCACATCCCCAGCCCAGAATATATTCTTTTTATATTCATCCTTTTTTTTTTTTTTTGTGGTGCCAGTGATTGAACCTAGAGCCTTACACATGCTTGGCAAATGCTCTATCATAGCCTCATAATTTTTTTTCTTTCTTTTGAGATGGGTCTCACTGTGTTGCCCAGACTGGCCTTTTACTTCTGGGCTCAAGTGGTCCTCCCACATCAGACTCTCAAGCCACTGCTCCAATAGTGTAATGTTTTGTATAATACTAAACCCACTATTTTGGCTAGTTTTTAAAAAATCTACTATTAATTGTTTTAAGAAAAATATAGTGATTTTTGTTAAAATAATTATAGCCCAATATTTAATTTAACTTACAACTCATTACAGCCTCACCTCATGGATCATAATTTCAGGGCCTCTGAAATTACAGTTGGTGGTACCTATAGGAAAGAAGGAGTAGGTAGGTAGTTTTTTTCTCTTTAGTACCATTTATTGAGTGCCATATGACAACTGTACTTTGTCTAGTTTCCGTATTTATATATGTACAATGTGTTAGAGTCTTTAATTTTAGAAGACCGAGCATGTCAACTGATGAATGTTTTAGGGCATATATCTCTTTTAAAACGTAGCCATAATAGAACTCAAGTTCTGTTCTAAAAACGGAGAAATTTTGGTTGCAGTTATTAGCTATTTGAGAAGCAAGAAAAATATAAAGAAAGAGGAACTGAATTAAAGGCCACATTTTACAGCTTTTGAAGTGTGGAATTTGGTTGTGGTATGATATAACATTGTTGAGAAATTGAATTTATAAAAAATCTTATTACAATTTTGTGGTAATGTTTGATTTTGGAGATTTCTGGTTCTCTTTAAAAATTGAACTAATAAGAAATATTTTTTATTTTGTTCCAACATGAATAAAGCATCTCAAAAAATGGTGTATATTATTCCTTATCTGGGAGTAACAAAACAATATTGGTAATTAGCATCTTGTGAATCTTAAATAAGAATCTGAAGTGTATATGTGGTATACATTTCAATGTATATTGATGGTTTGCAATAAGGAAGTTGTGAACTTATAAAGTCCAGTTTGGTGCTTTTTAGCTAATGAACTTTGCCATTCATAGTGTGACAGTAAGGAGTTCTTTGTCAAAAAATACTTTTTATATTCATTTCTGTCGTTTATTTAGTATTTCTATCTTGTAAGCCAAAT